CACTGTTCTAATAACTATAGGTCAATGGGTGTCTGTATAAAATTGTTTGAATTTAGAGAAAAAAGTGAGGATTCAGTCTCATACGGATGTAGGTCCTAAGAAAACGTTTTTTTAGGACTTGATAAATTACTGTTCTTTAGTGCATAAGGAATATGAACAAGGCAAACAAAGTTGATATTATAAACTGGCAGGGATATCTGCGTAGCTTAAATAAACAACAGTTTTTTGGGATTGTCAGAAAAGGACATTACTTGTCTATTTTCAAAGAGTTAAGTACAAGAATAGTGCAACAAAATCCTTGGGTGGTATTGCTTTTCAATGGAAAAATACAGTGTTCCAGCCAGAGCGCGCCATTGGGTGAATCCCGCAAAAGATCGAGAGATGGCCCCTGCCAAAAGCGATCAAGGGCCATTATGGCCCCTTCCTTTTTTGATTGCCTGGGCTTAAGATGGTCTCTGTTACTTCAACTACAATAATTTCCCAATTAAACAGAATTTTTAATCTAAAGAACAACGACTCGTACCTTTGTACACAACATGAAAATCAATCGATGAATCTTCTTGAGTTTACCTGATTTACCGTGAGTGGTCGGGAGACCACTAAGCCTCGACTTGGCTTTTGTAATATCGCAGAAGCTCATGGGTATCCGTCATGGCGTCTCAAAAAAGGATAAACCTGACAAACGCATCTTCGAGGTCTATCAAAAGTTTTTTTTCAGAAGTAACGAAAAAGTGGATGGAGACGAAGCAGTTCAGAACAAGACGCTACAGAGCGTACACTTCGGCGTCGTGGTTGTGGAACTAATTAATTGTAAATGCGGAGGAATAGTAAGAAATCAAATATGGCAAGAGTAAGGTGTTAATTTGTGAAATTAAGGGATTTGTCAGGATATTCTGAAAAGAGCAACATCCAAGAGGCCTACTTGCAAAAAAACTAGCATTTCGGGACAAATTGTCTCCGAGATATTAGCCCAGCCGTTATGCTCTGATGACTCCATACAAATCCTTCCAAAAAAACAATTCTCTATTTTTCTTAGTCACATCAGGCTTCAAAAACAGCATAGCAGGCTCATGTACTGATTAAAGATATGTAAGGCATGGGTAAGGGGTCAATTACGTTGAGCATGGAATTGGCTAAAACTCAAAGTCACGAGTTCGAATGTTTTGAGGATAATTATTCACTGACTATCAGCACGCAGGGATGTCGGATTAAAACAAGGAAGTTTAACACCAAAGGAACATAGCCTTTACAGAGCTTTAAAACACAGCATCCGCCAACACAAACTTGACTTGAACTTTGAGTAAAACTAAACAGCCTCTACCAATAATGACAAACTCTCACTTGAACTTCAGATATCTTACGGCTTCCGCGAACTTGTAAACACAATACCTGAATATCGACCTTCGTCACACTTGACTAAACACAGCAGTTCAGCTCGTGGGAAAAAACTTAGTTCTTCAAAAAAACTCGCTTGGAACTTGTATACCGTTTGACATAAGGTTCTAGAAAATACTAAACAGCAGGCGAATAGTAGTAGCTTTTCGACATATTTTATGATTTCAGTAACTGATGCAAATCTGCTGACTCATGCTGAAATGTAAACATACCCTAATTAATTGTTCATGGATAATCCAAAAACCTAGAGAACGTTCGAGAAAGTCACGCAACGCATGAAAGCAATTTTACTACGTAACACTCAACAAAGACAAAATGTCTTTTTGCAGCATTTTGTAACGTCAAATTCATCATAAAACAGTTCGAAAGGAGGGCTCACTCGTGAAATGTTTTTCAACACTCGAGGAGAAATTTCGTGTCTCTGCGCGGCCACGAAATATCCTCTGTTTATTCCTCGAGTAATTAAAGACTAAACTCGAAGTGATCTCAAGATATCACGAAGTAGTCCGGTCTCATTTCGTGAAATAGTTGAAACAAGCCGAAAAGTCACGAACTTGCACGCCCAATCTTGTCCCGAAACTAGTGCATCATTTCATAACTATTTTTCATATCCCAAATTACCTTGGGTCGCAGTAGCGCAATCGGCTAATCCTTCAACTTAGAGTCTCCTCTGATCTGACGGGTCACACAGGTGAGTCGGTTCAAACCCCGGGAAAGCCAAAATAATAATTCTTTCTTCCTCGAAAAAGTTAAAGAATAAATCAAAAAATCGAAGTGATCTCGAGATATCTCGAATTAATTCGGCTCTCACTTCGTCAAATAGCCGAATAAAACCGAAAACCTACAGACTTTACAAGCCCAATCTTGTCAAAAAATTGTAACTTTGATACATTCCTGAGCGACGCGAAACCTTTACTTCGCGCTCCGCCGAAGTAATAAGCGAATGAAAGCAGATCTTGACGGTGAAGTGGAAAATGAGATGAAAAAAATTACTTACTGTTTTTATTGCATACATTCTGATTGTACTGCTTGCTTTATTACCAGTAGTGATAGTGGACACCGGGGCACTCAAAGGATGCCGCCGCTTTGATTGACAGGCTATTGTTTCAAGGCTATTGTTCTCAGTGGTTAATTAAAAATTTAAGATGGCGCTCGGAGAGGACTTGGAACTTAGTTACTTATGAATTTGTAAAGGTGAAATTATATATGTGGATGACAGTCACGACTTACAATTGTGGGACAGAATTTCTGTCCCCCGCACAGTACGCATGCGCAGTACTGAATCTTGTGTAAAAACGTTCTAAAACGTTTTCTAAGTGTTCTCATTATTTTTTCTAAGTTTATAAGTAAAGAAAAAAGTCTTTCCCAACCCTGCTATCATCACAAGATCAAGAAAGAACGAGCTGACCGGGAATCGAACCCGGGTCACCTGCGTGACAAGCAGGGATACTAAACCACTGTACTATCAGCCCCTTTCCGAGTTGATTTACTACACAACAAAGTAGTCAGTTGAACAATGTTTATTATTTTAACAATAAGGTTTAACAATAGTGTGATTTTATTGCTACAGAATATGTTTCCGAAGGGAAAATACAACTCAAGCATTTCACGAAACGCTTGACAGCTGAAGAATAGAATTACCTTTTGTCGTCACAAGAAATATTGTGGGACTAATATCAGAGTCCCATGTCTACATTGCGACAAGACGTTTTCGAGGAAGGACAAAATGACTGCCCAGCATGTAAAAGAAACAGCGAATGATGAAGAGAAACAGGAGTACTTTGTTGGTGTTGAAAAGAAAAAACCAGAGTGACACTTAATAAGCTTATCTACACAGGCTTTACTGTCTTGGAGTTATCTAAACTTCACATGTATAACTTTCATTATAATCACATAATGAAAAAGTATGGTCCAAAGAAAGCGAAGCTAAAAACCTTTAACTCATAAAATAGATAAAAATTTAAATGGGTTACAAAGTTCCTTGACATCCTTGTCTTCTTGTTTTGGTAGATTTAAACTTCGTTTAAAAGTCTCTTGCAATTCTAAAAGAGCCTCAGGGTAATCGTAAATGTTTCTCACTCCAATGATGGCAGTTTTCTTCACTAGTGTGGGTAAAGCGTACTGTTCTTCTGACATCTGATCACATGCGGTAAACAAATCTTGGTAAGAATTATACCATAGCCACATGCTTCCCTCCACATCATACACATACAAAACTTTGTTGAGGACTTTACTCATTTCTACTGCCCAGCCTGTTCCGCCCATGCAAACTTTTCTTTGGGGTTGAAAACAAGTAAATGCCAGCACCATGTCTGGTTGTTTCACCCCATGATAATTTCGGTGGATATACTGTAAACTGATCGGGTTGGTTAACTGTTTGTTGAGACGATTAGCCACTTGCGTTGTGAGAGGAATCGCTTCAGCTAATTGTTGATGAGTTAAGGGTAGTATGGAGGCTTTTCTCGGATGGCAAGGAGGTATGAGGACATGTACTGGTAAACCATAGTATCTTGCTAACTTTTCTGCTTCTAAATCCACACCATTGGCGCCACCAGAGATGACAGTGAAAGCCACCGTAGTATGGGTTGATGAGTAGAATCAACGTGAGTTTTATAGAAGACCATTGACGTCATTGCCCGGACATGTTCAAATCCCAAAGGACTTGATCTTTGGTGGCGCATGCATCTCGTAGTAAGAAAGAGCGTTTCCAACAATGTTATCCGTGACATGCTGGTTCAAGTCCAATAAATAACGGTTCATTGTTTCCATAGTAAGATTGTGATAACAGATGCCTTGTATAATCACTTCATGCATAAACTTTTTGTATCCCTGTAGTAGTGAAGGATCCATATGCTGTAAAATGTCGTCTAAACTGCTTGATGGCTCCATAGTGATTGCTTTTATTCTGAGGATCCATCAGATATTATATCAGGTCGTTTGTTTGCCAAGAACTTGTAAAAGGCTGTGGTTTCTTTGTTCACTTGATGAAATATTTCACGGTTCAGCTCATGCAAGTTGTAATTCAATTGATCAAAGTTCATGTCGGTGTTGGCTAATGCATCAATCATCAAGGCTCGTATAAATTCTTTGTAGGAAGCAAATTTACACGGCTGTACTTTTTTTAACAGCTGTTCCATTTTAGTAGACGGTGTCGTAGCCCCCATGTCCTTCGGTGAGATCTTGTATCAGCTGTTCTTGTTTTTGAACCAAAGTTTTCAGTCTAGCCGCTTCTTCTTGGATTTTCTCAAACTTTTCCTTAAGCTGTTTGAACTGTTGCAACAACTGAGCGCAATAAGCTAGTGATTTACTAGCGATGTTGATCCACTCGAGTTCACACATAATGAATGAACTGTGTCACCCGTGCATGCTTATATGAGCTCGTCATGGTCCACTGATTCTTCCAACTTAATGTATTTGCGTTGAGTCTCTGTTTGCTTTTTCTTGAACAGTAAAGTGACAATGACTGTACTATCCTGATTGAAGTCGGGAATAATGTTATTCCATTCTGTCACAGTCACTTCTAAAATGTCCACCAAATAACTCCTCATGGAATAAAATTGAATGGGGTTACATTCAATCAGCGTTTTTTCGTTATTATAAGCGACAGACTTCATGATGGTTCTGTTTCCATCAATGCTTTTGGTTAAATTGCAAGACAAAAACAGAGGAAGTAAATTATCTGTTCCATGAGATTTAGGAAGTGTGGAAGCTTTCTTGTCCCCCGTACTGGTAGTCGTTGTTTCGGTGGTTGTGTGAGAAGAGGGAATGATCGGGTGATCATCATACACATCTGGTACCTGTTCTACATGACCATCCACACCATACAGCACCAACAAAGTGTTGTCTTTTAATTCACCTGAATATTTCGCTGACAGTGGAAACCCTATTTCAAACTTGATGCTTAATGTTGCATTGCTACTTGAAGTTTTAGTGAATTGAATAGTCAATGTGTGGTAATAAATCAAATGGGTTTTGTTTTGCTCATGAGTATGTTTTTCAGCCCGCAAATGATGAACTTGTAAACCCGTTCCTTCCGCTGAAAATTTAGAACGGTTAAACAGCCACTCATCCTTTTGGTACCACTCTAATGCCACCGTATAAGTTTTGTTGCGAGTTAAGGAGCTCATATCAATTCCCAGTTCCCCAGCGTAATCTCCGTGAGATGCAACATCCACAATTTTTACTCCTCTTAACAAAGTCACACTCAGAGTCCTGGGTTTCCAATAATGGGGAGATACAGGCAGATCTACAAACTTATCGTTCAAGGCGAGTCCAAGATCCATATTCCATAATGTAAGGTTAGTCATCCAGGGTTTGAACACATTGAAAACTGTTTTTGGGGTTTCATAGGGTCGATGAATCGCTCTGTCAAAGGCTTCATTTAAATTCACAAAGCGCCAACTAAACGTGGAGCAAAGATACAGCAATCCGTCTACTACATGAATGGGTTGAGTAAAAGTAAATTTTGCATTGAGACAGGTCGCGGGATCTGGTTTTACACTAGTAGTACCGTATGGAAGCTCCATGAGTAAATTCGGTCCCACTGCAAACACATTGGTAGTTGTTTCTACAACCCAACCCATTTGTTTAGCCAAGATCAAATTAATGGCTAAATAAGGCACACTTTTTCTGTTGGTACTTTCAACACTGTAATGCCGAAGCAACCAACTCGTGTAATTATCTTGGGCAGAAACATCTATTCTCCAATTATCATTACTATCTGCAAATTCATACCCCGTGGGTAATTTTTTGTTTAAATCCTGTTCCATCCACCAAAAAACTTTGGACATAAAATCAAATCCATTGGAGGCATCTTGCAAATCTGCTGTTTTAAGTTGGGACAAAAATTCTTGAGACTGACTAGATTTGAAAGCTTTGGCATATTGTTGAAATAAAATATCGGTATCGCTCCCTTTGTACAGGTTGTGAATCGAGCGAATACCGAAAGGTTTGGTAGGATTTGTGTCATGATGTTTCGTCAGAGAGGAACTGACATGGGATGTGACAACATGGGGAATGGGATTGGAAACGCCAGGTAAAAACACACTTGCCAAACCCACTTTCCATTTGCCCGGTAACCATAAGCTTTGAGGCAAACGGTATTGAAATTGTGTGGGTAAATTGTCTGGAAATTCCTGTGTTTTTTGACTAGTCAGCGTCACATAAAACGAGTTGTCATTTGGCTGAGTCATGTTAAATAATGAAATGAGGTAATTTATCTCTTTTATAGTCTGCCCCAACATGCTCAAGTCTCAAGGGTGTGATTAGTGCGAGTTCGTGACAGGAGTGACGTCATTGCCCAGACATGTCCAATTCCCTAAGGTATTTTAAGTAAGTATAAATTTGTGTGTTTGATGTGATTTTGCTGTATGTGTTATCTGCAAGAACCGACATTTGACATGGATAACTCTGTTCCTCCCAAGAAAGAAAAGAAATCCAGAAAAGCCAAAAATAAGACGGGAGAAGAAGTGGTTCAATCAGTTCTGAAAACTCCAGAACCTCAAATGATTGAGAATGCAGAACCTCTTACAAAAGAATGGACAGCACCCCATTACACTACAGACGATAAATTGAGGTTGCAGAAATACCTGGACCCAGAACCTCAAATGATTGTCAATGAACAACTTCCTTCCTATGAGGAAATGCAGCAGGCCTGCCGAGATCTGTTCAATGGTCCGAGTTCTATGGAAACACAGCCTGACCTAGATCCCGTGCATATCATGGAAAAAGGAGTCGCTGTGTTACCAGATGGTCGACAAGTGGAATGGTGGCCTATAGAAGGGGAATTCGATGTGCCTAATTTACATGAAGTTTCTTTGCAAGAATATCTGTTGGATGCGAGCAAGCCTTTGCATACCAACTTTGTCCTGCCTGAAAAAGGCCTTGCCATTTGTTATACATGTCCCGTGTATTTTGGCAATGCAGACAGCAAGCAGACAGTGTTGGATACCATTTGTAACAGCATTCATCCCAAAATCTACGAGCAATTGGGAACCTTTAGCTGTCATTGTGGATTAGTGCCTAGACTCAAGCTGAGTCAAACACCAAGAAATCCAAACAAAGTGTTCCTAAGCTGTCCTAAGACCAGAGAAGCCAGGTGTAATTACTTTCAGTGGATTCACCAAGCACCTAAACCTGTGAAGGTCCCTAAATCTTTTACACCCTCAGCTCTCTAGAAACGAATGCATGAGATGGTACAAGAAAGATTACAGAAACGACCAAAAGTAGAGGCAGGAGGATTTAAATTTCCCTAAAAACACTTTGTTCTTGTTGTTGTAACAAGTTTGTTGTTTAAAATTAAACAATGTGATCTCAGTCAAGCGTGTGTTTATTTGTCTAACACCCTAGGGGATTCTTGCCCGATCTTGTCTAATACCCTAGGGACCTTAGGAGTCTTATAAAATTGGGGCAATCTCTGGTCAAATCACAAACTCTGCTACCATGGCTTGTGAAATGAGTAGAGAAGAAGATCTTGAAATGATGAACGTAGATTTTGGCGGTCCTGACGGTCCTTTAAACACTCAATTTTTGCTTTCTATTTTTGACGAAAAGAAACTCTGCCCAAGATTTTATGGAAAAGAATTGGACAAACTGAAAGTGTATGATGCCTTAAAGAAAGACATGCATGCAGAAGTAAAAACCAAATGGGGAGAATTGAAATGTCATTGCGCACGAATTCCTATCCTTCGTCTTAGTAAGACCGCCAGAAACCTGAACAAAGTCTTTTTAACCTGTGGAACACCCGCTTTAGCTGAGACTCGCTGCAAATATTTTCAGTGGATTCACACACCACTGTTTATCGATAAGAGACCCATTCATAAACTCAAGTATGCGACAAACCTGAGCAGAGCAGAATGGAAGCAACAAGCGGAAGCGAATGTTGAAACGTGGAAACAGCGCAATGGTTGGTACAGCAAACAAGATGCCGAAACTCAAACAGAGCAGAAACAGCAACCTTCATGGATTGCCGAAGCAGCCAAAAAGCAAGGAGAACAAAGAAAACTGCAAACAAAAAATCCTTGGAAGAGCAACCCTCTGCCAAACACCTTTGAGTCAAGTCCCGAGATAGAGAAGGAACTGAAAAAACAAAAGCAGTGGAAGGAGGCTGTTAGTATTACTAACCATCGGTTTAATTCTCGTGTGAAAGGATGGTCTCATCTCCCTCCCGCTGATGCAAATGTAGCTGAGTATCTAACAAAACAAAAAAGCAAAGGCCATTCTCTCTCACCTGCGGATGAAAAGTTCTTAAATGCCTGCATAGCAAGCAAACAGGATGAGTGGAAACCTCCCCCCGGAGCTGAAAAGTATGAAAAGAACGAAGTAGCCATCGCCAAAGCAGTGCATGAAGACTGGTCTTTTGGTTATTTGCCTGAAAAAGTCTGCAGTTTGGCTTCCTATTGTCGCAACAAAAAGCAGAAGGGATTGTCTTTAACACCCGTTGAGGAACGTTTTTTTGCTCAATTAGTGAATGTATGTATCCCGGAAGAAACAGACAAGGAAAAACAAGAAAGAGAAAAGAGATTTTTTCAAGAATGTGATGCAAACAATGCTGAGAAAAGAAAATGTGGATTGCCTCCTTATTCCTATGAAACCTTTAGAACCTTTGGTACTGGTATTTTTTGAGTTTCCCTTTAAAAAATGTGTAGCATAAAAACAAGCAATTTTTAAATAAAAGTGTTGAAAAGAAATGTTATGTGGTTGTTTTCTGGTTAGGGTTAAACCCTAGCCCCTTGGGATTAGGGTTAGGGTTAAAATGTTAATTAGGTTAGGGTTAAACGCTAGCCCTTGAGAATTAAACATGTTCAAACAGGGGGAATGAAATGTGTTCTAAAAATAGAATATAAAGACGTATAAAAATCGATCATTTGTTTTGAAAAGTATTCATTCAGTCATGGGAAACCTTCAGTATAGAAGTACGGTGTGGATTTGTCGTTTGTTAAACGACCTATGCTCTGAAGACACTTGTCCTCCTATCCCAATGTTTCAATGGATGATAAATCATAACCATACAACCTGGGGACATTATGCAGTGTACATCACTTGGCTGCATCGACACCATCCATCCGAAGGAATCAAGGTGTTTGACTATTTAAAGAAACATCATGCCAACAACATGTATTCATTTTGGTATTTAGCAAGTCGCCCTTTAGTGTACTATGTCAACGAAATTATCCGCTTCGTATGTCGATCCTACCGAGCCTGGATCACTGGGAGGTGTTGCCAAATTTGCCAAAGCACACAAGATTCCCGTGTCCAAAGGCAAGAAGGGACTGCAACAAGTACTGAGTTACACTCTGCATAAACCAAGACGTCGGCGGTTTAAAACATTACCCACCCTGGTGTTTAACATCAACGAACAATTTGTGATGGACTTGGTAGACATGCAAAAACTAGCCAAATACAACAAAGGGTACAAATATTTACTGACGGTGATTGATGTGCTCTCAAAATTTGCCTGGGTAGAGCCGTTAAAGAGTAAAAGCGCAACAGCGATGGTAGAAGCCTTACAAAGACTATGGGCAAGATTAGGAGATCGTTTACCTCAAAAAGTACAGACGGATTCTGGCGGTGAATTTTATAATGTTAAAGTGCAATCCTTTTTTAAAAAACAGGGTGTGAATCATTTTTCTACGCATGGAGATCCTCACGGTTCCGTAGTGGAACGTTGGAATCGAACTTTGAAAACGAACATGTTTCGCTATTTTACTGCGCATAATACGCTCAAGTATATTGATGTGTTGCCTGCTTTAGTGAAAGCATATAATCATTCCTATCATCGTAGTATTCAAGAAAAACCTGTCAATGTCAACGAGTCCAACGAAACCGAAATTTGGTATCGTTTATACGATACGAAAAAAGACAACAAAGTGAAAAAACCGCAGTGTCAAGTAGGTGATAAAGTAAGACTCAATAAAAAATTTTGTCCTTTTAAAAAAGGGTATTTGCCTGGGTGGACCGAAGAAGTGTTTTTAGTGAAACAAATCTATACGACAAAACCAGTGGTAACGTATAAACTCACGGAATGGGACGGGTCTCCTATAAAAGGAACGTTTTATGAACCAGATCTGCAAAAGGTCAATGTCGCAGACGATTCATTATTTCGTATTGATCAAGTTTTAAAACGCAA